GGATTGTAGGTGTTCGAGTAAGGATCGTTTTGGACCCGCGGGGCGTACCCTTGGATAGCATTGATGTCGTAGGGCACTCCTTCGAGATTTGGATCGTAGGCCGGCCCCATATAATGTGGACACTCGTGGCCTCCATGGCCGACCTCTCCACAACAACCACACACCTCGACCATCATCACATGGTGGTGGCAATTGCTCTCCTTGTCCCGCCATTGATTCGGTTTCGGGTTCCGGTTGTGGTTCTTCAATATTAAGGTCGATCGATGGTGTCTCCTCTACGGGTGCACGCCTTCGTCTACCTCGCATAAACACAAACAACAACTATACCCGTGAACACACCAATGTGAAACAAGGTAAAGCTCAAGCAACAAACACAAATTATCTAGGAAACAAAGAGAAATGAAGAGAAATAAAGAGAAGTACGACAATTAAGCAAAAAGTACAAAAATCAAGAGAAACACAATAAAAACGAACAACCAAATAGCAAATTAGGCGTCCTACTTGCCTTCTCCGGCAACGGCGCCATTTGTTTAGTAAAGATTTTGGTGGGCAAAGGATAACCGAGTTACCCGACTCGGGTCGATCTCGAGGGAAGGCTATTTACTAGTTGATTGTCCAAATCACAAAAAGAGAAAATAAAGTCCTAAACATTCTAAGCAATTGATTGGAGGGTTGATTATCACTAAACGAGCACTTGAAAACGAGCAATGAACTAAGAGCAATATCAAATCACGAGCAAGTAGCAAACTAGATCACCGGAGTCTCATGCCATAACCATAACGGGATGATAATCAATCGACATAAGGAATAAACGAGCTATGAGCATTAGATTGCTAACCCTAGTTGTCTAACCCTAAGTGATTAAGACCCTAATCGGGTCTTAATCCTTAACAAGATCAACAAGCAATTAACTCCTCTATCTACTCAAGCAAGCAATCAAGTACAAGCATTCCCTCCATCATCAATCAAATCCAAATCTACCCTAATAATAAGTAAAAACGGAGCAAAAACTGAAGTAAAGAGCTTTAAAGCTAAATACTCATCCTTCCATTGCGTAGACGATGAAAACGGAGTCAAAAGCTCAAAACTTGAAAGAAATCAAAGTCGCCGAAAAACCTCCAGAAAATAGCATAATCTCCTAGTCTAGAGAGCAAAATAAAACATAAGCTAAGTTCCCAAAAGGGAAAAATGAAATAATGAGTAGTAGATGTCCAAAATGCAAAGGAACAAAAATATATATAGTCTAGCCAAAGCACACACTAGAAAAATGCACAGTTAAAAATACACTCTCGAGCTCTCCGCAAGATTCACTAGCTCGCCGGAGGTGATGTGCATGGGCGCAGCACTCTCGGCGTCGCCATGTCTTCCGCGTGGTCGCGAGCATCTTGGGCAATGGCACCGCGGTACTCTCGAGTTTGCCATGGCTCCCGCGTGGTTGCGAGTGAGGTAGGCGGCTTGGGCGTGACACTCTCGAGCTCGTCGTCGGCTCCGCGGGCACGCGAGTGAGGAGGTTGCTGCACTTCTTGGCACTCTCGAGCTCTCCGCTCCTTCCGCGGGCGCGCGAGTGAGGAGGTTGCTACACTTCTTGGCACTCTCGAGCTCTCCACTCCTTCCGCGGGCGCGCGAGCGACATGTTCTAGGCACGTCCGGGCTCGACTAAGGACTCGAAACACTCGGTTTGAAATGGTTCGCGCGGATGACTCGAAACTTTTCAGAATTCTCGGGAACTACGCTCGACTCCCTTCATTCATCCACGGAATACACCTGAAAATATACCAAGAGCACGAAAAAGTACGCCAAAATATAAAATAAAACAAAAGACACAAATATGCACGGAAAACGACAAAATGGACCGGTCGACACCAAAATGAACCTAAAAATGACTCGATAACACACAATAACACATAAAAATAAGCACAAAAACATAACAAACATATGCCTATAAAATAGTTGCAAAAAATATACGTAGACTAGCATGTTTCTAAAAAATAATAAATATCCTTTAATATTCAAAATTTGGCTTTATGAAAGTACTCCTTTAATATGTGTGGTATTTTGATATGCATCCCATTGTTTATAGAATACCTTTCCTTTCCTTTCCCTTTTTTTTTTTTTTTTTTTT